GGGACGAAGGGGAGGGGGGGCGGCGGCGCCGGCCGCAAGCTTCAGGTTCGCAATAGTTTTTGCGACTAGTGGTGGAACTCTGGGCGGCGGGCGTGCAACAGTCTTTGTAAGTTCGTCCCAGAATGATTGCACTCTTTTTCCTTACCAATCATGAATTACAAATTTAAAAATTAATAAATAAATAATTTTTTATATAGTTCGTGTTCAAATTTCAAATTGCAATCTCCATTATAATTTTTCTATAATTTTTACAATAAATAACTTAAAAGTTATTTATATACATACATATATAATTAATAAACAAAATTATATATAATATATATAATAGTATATAAATATATAAAAAATATTAAAAAATTAGGTCGGGCACCTCGGGCGGTCTCAAGTTGCCCGACCGGGCTCGGGCAGCCAAAACTTGCCTGAAGCCCGTCCAAAGCCTTGCTCGGGTCGTGTCAGGTAGCTTAAAAATTCAGGCTCAGGCAAGCTCGTTCATCGGGTAAAAATTTAGAATTTTCGGTGGTCGTGGGCGGCCCGTCCAAAGTTTCAGCGCTAGTTATGACCCTTAAGGCAGCAGACTTTGGGCTTCGGCCTAGAGTAGCTAGCAACATAGGATGGGCCCAATTAGGCCCGTAGTTGAAGAATGAAGCTGCGGGCTTTGGCTCGCAACTATTAATAAAAAAAAGAGAAATAGTAAAAAATAGGCCAATATGAAAAGCTTAAGAAAGTATATAGGCCAATTTTTAGTTATAGAAATTAATAGGCCATAACTTGTCAAGTTATGGTTCATAACCAGAAAAGTTATGGACAATAACTTGTCAAGTTATGGTTCATAACCAGACAAGTTATGAACCAGACAAGTTATGGACGAAAATAGTAATTTGGCCTATTTATTAACTTATGTAAACTATTGGCCTATTAATTTTAATTCATCTCAAGTCTTGACCTATTTTCCTCTTTCTCTCAAAAAAAATATTTGGCTTGCGGGCCATTAAGGGAACCATAGGCCCAATTGGGCCCGTGGCTTATGAAAGGCTGCGCGCCATAAATTAGAAAAAAGGATGGAGCCGACCCGGTGTAGTCCTAACCCAATTGACCGTGTATGGTTGACTTTGACCATTGACCTTATGGTTGGGTTTGACCGTTGGCCATTGAAGTTGACTTTGACAAAATTTTTTTAAATATTTCTGGGTCAATTTTGCTGCAATTTAAATTTAAATATTGGTATGTTTATATATATTTTTTGAGATAAATTAATTGAAACAACATGTCACCAAAGTGACATCTCTTATGGAAATTAATTTGTTTTGGAACATAAACGGTTGTGTGCATGTAACTTATGTGAATATTGACCGGCCCAAATAAAGGTCACTATTTAATGGAATTGCATTGGTACCTGTGGTAATAAACGTGTGATGATTATTCGGTTTTATATGTGAACAATACATCGGCCCAAAGGAAGATTTATTGTTCGACATGTTCTTATTATTAGTGTTTGATTTCTACACCAAGATATCACTTACAAGTTAATATTTTTGTTAGAAGACAAGATATTAATGGAGTGCCCGGTATCTTGAGATGAGGTTTACCTTTATTTGAATTTTATTGTTATTTTTGTTTTGAGGCTTATGTGAGCTTGATTTGTTTGTTTATTGTTCTATGGATTTAGCTACAAACTCTCCTGTTAATATTACTGCAAACATCAACTCTATTCCTATGTTAAATGACACTAATTCAAGTCATGACAAGAGAACCTTCTGATAGTTCTCAGAGTCATGGATCTCGACCTGGCGTTAAGGGTTGATTCTTTTACACCTCTTACGAATAAGAGTACCTCTAATGCAAAAAAGGATATGGAAAGGTAGGAGAAATAAAATTGCATGTGTATGATATGAAGAAGGTCATTTTGGAAGCATTCAGGGGCACAATATCTGAAAAGATTACTACGGCTAAAGAGTTCCTTGCAGACGTTGAAAAGAGATTTGTCAAAATGAAAAGGCTGAAATAGGTATGCTCTTGACAAACCTAATTTTAATGAGGTATAAAGGCAAAGGTAGTATCAGGGAGTACATTATGGCGATGTCTCATCTTACTTCAAAGTTAAAAGCACTTAAGCTAGAACTCTTTGAGGACTTGCTAGTGCATCTGCCTTTGAAATCCCTTCTGACATAGTTTAGCTAGTTTAAGGTAAGCTACAACTGTCAGAAAGAGACTTGGTCTCTGAATGAGCTTATCTCACATTGTGTTCAGGAAGAGGAAGGACTGAAGCAAGATAAGGCAGAAAGTGCTCACCTGTTCTCAACCTCTAAGAACAAGGACAAAGGAAACAAAAGGAAGAAGGATAAGGAAGCTGCAGATACGACACCTCAAAAGAAACATCAAAAGAAATCGGGCCAATTGGAAGGTACTAGTTGTTTCTTCTGTTGTGTTAAAGGGCATAAAAAGAAGCATTGCATGCTTCTTATTTTGGTTTGTTCTGAGGTCAATTTAACTTTAGTACCTAGACACACGCAGTGGATAGATTCTGGTGCAACAACTCATATCAGTGTGTCTATCCAGGGTTGCCTGAGTTGCCAAAAGCCAAGTGATGGTGAAAGATATATATATATATATATATATATGTGGGTGATGGCAAGATGATTCAAGTTGAGGAGGTAAGAAAATTTAGATTTTTATAAAAGACTAGATTTTATTTGGATCTTAATGAGATATTTATTGTATCGCCTTTTAGACGGAATTAGATTTCTATTTCTGTTGGACAAATCAAGTTATTCTTGTTCATTTGGGAATGGAAAATTTAATTTGTTTCATGATTGAAAATTAGTTGGTTCCGGTTTTTTATCAGGTTATGATAATCTATAGTTGATTGATAAAATTACTTCATTTAATGAATCCTTGCAATTAAGTATGCGAGGTATAAAGAGAAAATTAACCAGTGAGAATTCAGCTACGTTATGGCATAAGAGATTAGGTCGTATCTCTAGATGAAGAATAGAGAGACTTGTGTCAGACAAAATTATAGACCCTTTAGATTTTATTGATTTTGATGTTTGTGTTAATTGTATAAGGGGAAACAAACCAATAAAAGGAGATTTGAAGCCAACATGACTTTGGATGTCTTAGAACTTATACAGACGGACATTTGTGAGCCATTCCCTATGGTTGCTTAGAATGGCCAACAATATTTTATAACATCCATAGACAATTATTCCAAATATGACTATAGATATCTCATTCGTGAAAAGTCACAATCGTTGGATGTGTTAAAAAATTATAAGTCTAAAGTTGAGAACCGGCTAAGCAAAAAGATTAAAACTGTCAGATCTGATCGTGGTGGTGAGTACTATGGTAGATATGACGGTTTAGGTGAACAACGTCCAGGACTATTTACTAAATTTCTAGAGAAATGTAGTATCGTCCCATAATATACTATGCCGGGTTCGCCCACTATGAATGGTATTACTAAAAGATGAAACAAGACACTTAAAGACGTGGTGAGGGGTATGATTTGTTATTCTACCATACCAGCATCACTATGGGGAGAAGCGCTTAAGATTGCAGCATATATCTTTAACAGGGTTCCAACTAAAGCGACTGCCAAACCCCTTATGAACTTTGGATAGGCAAAAAGCCTAGTTTAAAGCACTTGCACATTTGGGGATGTCCAGCTGAGGCAAGGCCTTATAGGCATAATGAAAAGAAACTGGACTCAAGAACTATGAGTTGCTATTTTCTTGAATACTCTGAAAGATCCAGGGGTACAAGTTTTATGATCCCACGACTTAGTCAATTTTCAAGTCGGGAAATGCCCAGTTCTTTGAGGATGTCGAGTTTACGCGCGGGGGGGGGGGGGTTGTGGTGGTGGGGGGGGGGGGGGGGGGGGGGGGGGGGGGGGGGTAGATACAATTAGGAACTTTATCTTTGAAGAGTAATATGCTGATATTCCCACGGGTGCTATTGACAGTGATTGGAATTCCATTCCTGACCTTGTTCATGACACAACAGATCAAGACAATATCGGAGAGCCTTTCATTTAAGAAATTAATCCAGAAGAAAAAACTCTACAACCTCCAGAACCTATACCATTAAGGAGATCTACGAGAGAAAAGAGAAGTGTAGTGCCGGAAGACTACATTGTATTTCTCAAAGACCATTAGATTGACATTGGAGTGATGGAAGATGATCCGATCAACTTCCGTCAAGCCATAAAAGTTCTAACTCTCAGAAGTGGATTGATGCATGCCATGAATAAGGAGATTAAGTTCATGAAGGACAATTATGTGTGGGACCTTGTCCCATTGCCAACAGTACAAGGAATCTAATCTTGCAGGTAATCATCAAGTACCAAGTGTAATTCCATTTAAATTCTAAAGCATCCTAGAACTTGAAGTTCATAAGAGAAGACTAGAAGTCAAACACCGGTAACATTTAAAAAAATGGTTTTAAAACACTTGGTTATCCGTTTTATTTAAAGATGTTCAAACTTGTTGAGATTTTTAGTTTTGAGTTTACCCCTCGCATGTGTCAAGGTTTTGAATAGAGGATTTCAAATACTGAAACTATTGTTTCTAAATTATTTTTCATTATAAACCACTCTTACTCTCCTACTGGGCATCCAGCTCACCCCTGTTTTAAATGTTTTCCCCCCTTCAGAGTCAGTAGCTTGACTAGCAACATGGTAAGCTGACGTCAACGGATTGAAGACTCGAGATACGAGGTGGTTTATTTTAATTGGAAATTTACAGTTTTTAAATTCTAAAGTTGTACTGTATATTTGTATATGATCTTTATTGGTCGGCATTGTCCTTAAGATGTGAAAAGTTTAAATTTGTGGACTGTTTTGATATTATTTGTAAAAGAAAGTCTCCAGAGCAAAATATATTGATATTTATGATGAAAAACAATTTACAAACAATAGTTTCAGTATTTGAATCCTCTATTCAAAACCTTGACACCTGCGAGGGGTAAACTCAAAACTGAAAATCTCAACAGGTTTGAACATATTTGAATAAAACGGATAACCAAGTGTTTTAAAACTTTCTTTTTAAATACTAAAACTTTCTCAAATTCATTTCCAACAATACAAGGAATCTAATCCTGCAGGTAATCATCAAGTACCAAGTACTTGTAATTCCATTTAAATTCTAAAGCATCCTAGAACTTGAAGTTCATAAGAGAAGACTAGAAGTCAAGCACCATTAACTGGAATGCTTTCTAATAGTACCAAACATAAAGTCTAACATCAATGCTAAGCCAATATACACCCCACGTGGGTTCTGGGACCTGCCCCTAAGGATACACGCCGCATATCCTAATCTTCAGACAATCAAGCACACTAAATATCTAATTTGCTCATCAGGCCAGTGTTCAAGGGCAAATTGCTTATCAGAACAATGCTGAGAGCTCTACATGTTTATACACCATGCTCAAATTTAATTCTACTTCAAGACATATTTTCATGCTCAAATTTAATTCTAATTCAAGACATATTTTCTTTTCTGAAATTTCCACTTTCGTAAACTATGATTCGCGAATAGCAAGTTTTCCAGAAGATTTTTCATATATGTATGATTACTCCACATATATTTATTCATAGACTTTTCAAAAATCTTCTTAAAATCTCTTATCAAGAAAAATTGAATTCTTCGCCAAAAGGTAGAATTCCTTAAAACACTTTAAAAAAGGATGAGAAATATATTATCATTCTTAGTCATGGTTAAAACTCGAGTAATACGGTAAATTTTGGCTTAAAATTTGATTTTTCAAAAGATTTAGGCGGAATTAGCTTTCACCGGTCAACCGGTGACAGAGAAGTACAATTCCACTGGTGGTACCTATTCCGGTCGCCCAGAATGGTCGATTGGGGGTGTTCTTCAGTTCTAAATCAGCTTGCCGCCTTGGCGAGAAAAATACCAAAAACCTGGGTTTCTGGTTGTGATTTCAAAATAACTCATGAATATCGCTTTAACCAGTTTCCAAATACGAAATTAAGATTTTGAAATCTAAACTCATATAGTTTTCACTATATTTCATCAAAACTCAGGTTTAAACCATAAACTATCAAGGAAGTTAAATTCTAGAATTTCATCCTGCAAATTTCAGAAATTCAACCAATTCCAGTGGAATCCCATGATCTCAAAGGTTAATCAGCAATACCTTTTCATAAATCTCCAATTTAACCATTAACAAGAGCAAAATCTAGATTTAAACAAAGAATGAGGAAAGAGGAAAAAACCTACCTCAAACATAGAAGCTCTTTCCTTAAAATTTCTTGAGGGCTTAGCATCCCGACGTCGTCCTCAACATTTTGAAGCAAGTGGTGTCAACCTCCACTGCCGGAGATGGCGGCTCACGGCGAGCTACCGGGCATGGCAGATTTCCATGAGCAATATGGATATCATTTCGTCCCTCTCTTCATTGTGAACTCATAGGAACAAGAATCACTCAATTCCGATTAAGAATGAGTGAGTTATAGAGTTTTGAAATTGAAGAAAAAATTTTGGAAAGAAGAGAGAGAGAGAGAGCTCCACGAGAGAGAGAGAGAGAGAGAGAGAGAGAGAGTGTCTCGGGGAAGGAAAGAAAAAGAAAGAAAAAGAAAAAGAAAGAAAAAGGAAAAAGTAAGAATGAAAAAATGAGTTTGGACTTTTTGTATAAATTTACTATTTAAAATTTAAAGTTTAATTTAACTAAAATATGAAATGACTCATTATTTTTATTCTAAAAATTAATTATTGACACTTTAAATTTATTTAGGCAACAACAGCGTCAATTCTAAAACAATCCTTTTTAAAGGAGAAAAAATCTTTTACATGATAATTTTAACTGAAAATCTTTTATTAATCTCAGGTTAATTAACACTAATTACCATATTAGATTAATTAATTTCATTCAATTTAATCGGGTGTTACAGAAGTTATCTATATATAGTAGTTATGGTCCCCAGATCACACGTATTATCATTTTATTTTATTTTCTGACATTCCATCATAGAGTGAAGAGATTCTTTTCTAAAAATCTCTTGTACATATGGAAGCATAAACAAATAATACAAAAATTACTTATCCGCCCCATCCTCATTCTCGTAAGTTGATTTAGCAGGAAGAAGTGATTCTATCAAATCAGCTTCACAACTTGTACTGATTTTCTCTGAAGGTTGATCTATCCACATCCTTATATTTTCTCTGTTATCATGAATTTCATGCCTTAGAACATCTATATTGTCCTGCTTTATGACTTGAAGGTCTTTTGCCTTCCCCCAAAGAACAACATAGAGGCCAAACATCACACTAAAAGCTCCTAATAAGCTGATTAATGTATGTATAATATAAGAAAAAAGAAGGCAATTATTAGAATTTCACTTATAAAGCTAGTATAATAATATATACGTATTTGAACTATAGTGTATGAAATTCAGTTTGATTTAATTTAAAGGGATTTTATATTCGTTTTCATACAACAAATAGAGATTTGGATTGTGTGAAATGAAAAATGTGTGTTTTTGTAAAAAATAAAATAAAAAAAAATTCAACGATGAAGTACCTTCCAGTATACAACTTTTCATGGAGGAACAAAGAAGCTATGACAGTTGTAATGACTGTGCAAAGAGGGCTGAACATTGCAGCAAAGAGAGGACCTCTTAGTGCTATGCACCATGCTTGAACAAAAAAGGACACTGAAGTACCAATTCCCTGTCAGTTAATTATATGTCAGTTAAAGACAAAACACATTCTATAGATTTTAACAAACACACCCACCTTAAAAAAAGGGAAACAATAATATTAACAAAAAAAGGATTATTAGCACTGTTGGTCGCTGAATCTTAAGTACAGTGACATTTTGGTTTCTAAATTTTTTATTTTGATAGATTAGTACCTGGATTTTTGGTTCTTGATATTTTTGATCTTTGACACTGAATTTGACAAAGGATTTTTGAAATTTAGTATAGATACTCTATCTATATTGCATAATAACTACGGAGTTTTACGTAAATAGTTATTTTACTTGCTAAAAGTGGTAATAGTAAAGAGAAAAGTTTGCTCATATATAATACAACTATTTTTCTAATATTTTAAGTTATTATGCAATAGAAACAGGATTGTCGGTGTTAATTTTTAAAAATCGTTTGAAAATTTTAGTATCAGGAACAAAAGCTATCAAAAAAACAAAAATTCAAGTAGTAATCTGTTAAAATTAAAAATTCAAAGACTAAAGTAACATTATGCTCAAAATTTAGAGACTAATAGTACTAATAACCACAAAGATATACTTAAAAAAAAAAAATTACTTACTGCATATAAACAGCTCCCAATTTCAAGAAAAGAATGCAGACGCCATACTTCTAAATCATTCTCTACGAAAAATGTAAATATTGCAGATTGGATAGTTGTGAAGAAACACATCCAAAGTGTTGAATACAAGTGGTCCGGGCAGCTTGCTGAAATAGGGACCTGCTTGCAAATTTGAAGCAAATTTTAGGAACTTTTCAAACTTAAAAACATATAATGAATAAATTCAATGTGGCTTTGTAGAACCTGCATAATCATCCAAAACGACCAGCAACAACAGCACACAAAGAGAAGAAGACAACCCAACTGCAAATTTTCGCCGCCTTTCATGCCAAAGAGTAGTGATTTTGGTGGCAAAAGCTGTGTGTTTAATAGCCTCGGACCTTTAATTAATGCCATACAAACTGCTCCACCAACACACAAGAATGTACCTATTATCTTGGCAATACTTCTCAAACTTCTTGTATTAACTTTCTCTAATCTACAAAAGGATTTTTTTTTAAAAAAAAGTAAGAATCAAATTAATGAATTCTATGTATAAAACACAAGTAGCCACCAACGGCCATTTTTACTTTAAGGTTTTGGCTTTATATTCATTCACTACATTACGAATATATACTGCAGGGACATTAATTTAAGTGGGGCATGTGTTCCAACTCAAAATTTAAAAATTTATGTTTTAACCCTAAAATTTTTTTAAAATGTCATGAGTTGTGCCACCAATTCAAAAAGAAAAAAAAGTAATTGTGTCCTCACAAAATAATTTAAACACGTAATTATGTCTGCATTTAATAAAATATTATTATTAGCTCCTAGCTCAGCCACTTTTGATGGTACTAATATTGAGAAATTTAAAAGAGTTATGATTAAGATGTGTTTGTATCAGATTTCATAGAATCTATTGTATTCATTGCTCCAAACGCCTTCAAATCAAATCATTTTTATGAGTTGTCTTTACCCAACCATAGCTGCCATGACAAAGGTGATTGCAGGAATTAGATTAGTCATTGCAGTTGTTATTGATGAAGAGGACAAGTATAAGCCCTCAAAATAGGCATTCTGATTGGCTGTGACTCTGCAAGGGGAAGTCAAAAAATTGAACTTTAGTAAACTAATCAGATCATCCATTAAAACTAACTATTATATAAAGTTTCATCAATCTATAGAGGTTTGTTTGATGCACGTGATTAGGAAGACCGGATAGTATTAAATTTTAAAATTGTGTTTGGTGAAAATTTTTAAGACTCGAGTGGATAAACTTTTATCAAGTCCATGCTCGAATCCATCTGGAAGGGGATACGGCTATCCCTATGGAAGCATGACACTAAACACATCACATTGTTAACACTGTTAACTAGAGAACATTGTGAAAAGGTTCAGGGATCTAGTTGAAAGGATTTATAAAGTTTCGGGTCCAAACTATTTTTTTTTTTTAAAATTGAAGGGTCAAAATACAATATTATGCGAGTTAAGTATTTTATAAAAATTATATTTTTGTCCCACAGATTTTTGCCAAAAGGCCCCGATCATTATTACATAACATAAGACATGGTATTTAAATGAAACTAAAATTTTATCCTATCCATTCCTATAAAATTCAATCCAATCCTCTAAGACTATCTTATCCAAATATTGCAATATTCTGTGCACCAAATGAATAGATTAAACTCCCTTGTAATTTGTGTGGTCGGGTCGAATTCTCATGTAAAATAAGTGGTCATTTACGACTAGTTTTGTGTTTATAATTTGTCTACATGAAACGAAATTTTCCTTAAAAAAGAAAATGATCAATAGATCAAACTCATCTACCTACCCAATAAGAGCAGTCACAAATATCAAAGAAAAGCTCCTCAATCCCAGCGAAGTCCTGTATGGATTGCTCCTGCCAAAACAAAACAAGAATGAGAGGAAGAGAAAGAGAGAAAATATAAGAGATAAGAGAATATGTGACTACCACCTCGTAAAATAAGCGATAGGAGCCATGATAAGAGTGGCTGCAGCTTGTCTGTAGACAACAAAAACCCTGGGGCTCATTCCTTGTAACAAAGCAGCTCTAGTGAAAATAGCAAGTCCAGTATAGATGCATTGCAATCCAATCATAGCCACTGCAGGCTTGTAATCATTTAACCCTTCCATACACTTAATTTGACTGCAAAAACTCTACTCTAAAAGCTGAGTAGCTAACTTTGAAGAAGCACACAAGAGCTTGAAATCCTTTTAGTATATATAGAGCATTATTTACATAGTAAATTGTACTATTTCACCCAAACTACTTATTTTTTTTACATAATAGACTCTAGACTTTAAATGTTTACAAAATACACCTAAATATTAAAATCAATATGAATTGAAGTCCGGTGACTAATGGCGTTATCAAATTGATAATTTGAGACACGAGATTTGAACATGACATAGTTAATGATACTGACGATCTTTGTATTTCATGTTTGTTTGCTATTGGGACCAAAACTGATATTGATTTTGAAGTTTATGATTTGTATTTTGTCAAAATTAAAAGTTTGGAATGCATTATGCAGAAAAGAAGAGTTTGGAGGACAGCAGTGCAAAGCAAGAAGACTGCAAGGAAATTTCTAAGAGTTAGGCATGTGGGGTCTAATTCATAATGTACCTAGTTCCAAATAATAATATATAGAATACATCATGAAGATGAGGAGGATATAGTAATTATATATAGAGAGACAGAGAGAATCAAAACTTTTGCTAGAGATGAGATAATTAAATAGTGGCTTATGATGTGGCAAGATTAGCATTGAGATGGGACACCGGGATTGGCCAGTGATGTTCATGATTGCTGCCACGTGGCACAACATATCTGGATAATTTTAAATTACACGTGGAAAACAGCATATATATATATGTGTATATATATATATATATATATATGCGGCGTCATGGACTTGTTTTTATTCGGCTTAGGATCCTTGTTTTTATTCGGCTTAGGATCATGATATGGGATTTCTAACGTGGGGTTGATCCAAGCAAAGGTTGGCAGAGAAAGTTATTGGTGGCAAATTTGGAGCTATTAAGCAACTCCGACTACGTTAATTAATTTATATTTTTGGTTAAAATAGTTAATAATTTAATTTTTTTAAGTTTTATTCACTCCAATCATTAATTATATGGTTAGTTATTTTAGATAAAATATTTTTCACTAACTAAATATAGTTTGTAAGAAGTGACTAGTTATTTATTTATTTTTATTATTTTATATTTTGTTTTAACATAAAGTAAAAGTTAAAAAAAATTTATTTATATTTTAAACTCAAAAAAATATTAAAATAATCTATATTTAGCTAAAATAAAAAGTATAATTAGAATGACTTACTAAAAAATTGCTAGTTAAAATAGCTTTCTAGCCATTTTAACTAAGAATTTAGCCAAAATTTTATGTTATGATGCATTGAATGTGGTGTAATGTCTCCTCCTTTCCCTTTCAAAATTTTCTTCTTTTTCTGCGTGCAGATGGAAATCTTATAAAACATGGAGAACCGGGTAAAATGTTGACATTCTTGGGCATACAAGGTAATTATATATGGACAAGGATTATTTTGAGGGAAAATAACTCGGCTGAGACTGAATTATCATTAAAAAACAAGAAAATTGAAGATAGATAGTATTTTATTGACCTGAGATATTGTTATTAATATGGGGTAAAACGCCGAAACCTAAATAAGGCTTTGGACGGGGCCGCACACCTTAAATGAAAACAAAATAATCAAGGACAACTCACCCGTAGGCGCCATATCAACAGGCAATTCTCTTAGGGGCCGACCGCTAAAAAGAAGTGTCAAGCATAGAAAGGAGGTTGACCACTCAGAAAAGGATACAAAGGAAAGAATGAAGCCGACCCTACCGGCAATCATAGGCGAAGAACCTTCTGGAAGCATTTACCAAGTCGACACTGCACAAGAGATGAGATTTACGAGATTTACTATAACCAAATATATGAATTTTAAATAAGGAAACCGTCATGATTGATCGTAATCTCTATTTTTTGGGAAATAATCTCAAAAGATAAGGGAAAGATCCCAAATTCAAATAAGGAAAAGAATATCAACGGTGATCATGAGTATAAATAATGGATTATGAGTCAGAAATCCCGAAGTCTCATTCTGAGTATTAGTGCGTGTATTTTCTTTCAAAGTAGTGCATTTTCTGTCCTCCCCACAGTGGACGTAGCCCTAAAACTGCGATAAACCACTATAGTTCTCACGTTTTCTTACTATTTTATTGCTTTTAATTGTGTTTTGAATCATTTAATTCACGCAAACCGTTTATAAATTCGTTATTATTCTGTTGATGAATTTTCATCGTCAATAATTAGCGACTCCGCTGCGCAACAAACCTAGAATCTCTAGTTAACACGGAAGGGATTGAAGAGAGTGATAACAAAAGGGAAAACAACCCTAGGACTCGACCGTCAAAATCACTAGGAAGCAGGCAAAGGGCCGCCAGGAGACGAGCCCAGGAAAGGGAAGCTGCGAATGTACAAGGATTGCCTCCGAGGGCGCCACATCGAGGAAACCAGGTCAACGAGGCCTAAAAAGACTCAGGGTCAGTACAGAAACGAGGAGACCTAAGAAATAGGCTGAATGCTAGGAGTGCAGAAGCCTTAAATGGAGTAGACTCCATAATCTCAACGGTAAAGGCTAAGGCGATCATAGAGCGCATGGCGAGTTTGGATGAGAAGGTTGTGGATGATGTCACCGGTTTAAAGAATGATGTAAAAAGCCAGATTAGTCACCTACAGAAGAATTTGGGGTAGGTCGTAGAGGTGGTGAATGTCGACATTGCCCCGAAGAGGGTTCACGATCATCCTTTCACGGTAGAAATGATGGCGCCATCCCTTTTAGAGAAATATAAAGCACTGTCAATTCCTCTATATGATGGAAGAGGAGATCCCGATGACCCCTTGGAGTTGTACACAGACATATCCTGTTACACGGCTATTCTGAGGAGATTATGTGCCGAGCTTTCCGTAACGATTTGACAAATTTAGCATGTCGATGATTCATGATACTAAAGTCAAACTCTATCTCCAGCTGGGTTGAATTGAAGGATGTCTTCTCCTTAAAATTCATTGGGGTGAAAAAGTACGTCCCGCCAAAATAGAATATGACAATGGTTTATCAAAAGTCAAATCAGTCATTAAAGGAATGGCTGGCAAGGTTTGGTGAAGTAGTCGCTGCAACCACCAACATGACTGATGGGAATACTTTAATGGGAGCCCTTTCCAGTATGAAGAAGAACACCCCACTTAATCGCGACCTCAATCGCAAGCCGACTTCCACATATAGGGAAATTCTAGCTAGGGCGCAAGGATTCATCAATGCGGAGGTGGCCGAGGCTAATGATCCTGAGCATAGATCAAACAAGAACAAAGGAGCAGAGCAATGGTCTACGTTTGGGAAGCAGGATAGCTGAAAGCCTATAGGCAATGGCAATGGGGATAAGCAAGTAGCTTCCACCTCTGATCAGATAGAGGCAAGAAGACAACAGAAGGCCTCGCCTATTCTAATGGCCCAACACTTATCATGAGTTAATTGTTGGAATGGAATAAATTTATAACCAGATTGGCAAGGGAAACATGCTACGTTATCACTTATCTGTGAAGGTCGACTGCGGGAGTTTAGGGCCGATAGAAGGAATCAGGGACAGAGAAATGACAACCATCGTCGGGATGATAACCAACGGGAAGATGACTGTGAGCCTATCGGGATTATACGGACGATCCATGGAGGTCCATATATAGGAGGGGATTCAAAGAGATCCCAAAAGAACTATGCCTATGAGGCGAAGTAAGTTTACCAGGAGAGGTTTTGGAATCTCTCATCGACAAGACCGTCGAAGGTTCCAAAGTTTGACGGCTCTGAAATAATCTTTTCAGAGGAAGACACAAATGGTGTGCACTTCCCTTAAAATGATGAGCTGGTGGTCGAAGCCATGATTGGAAACCACACTATCTGTAAGATCTTCGTAGATAATGGGAGCTCGGTAGATATTTTATACTCGAACTGTCTGACAAAGATAGGAGTCCCAAGAGAGCATATGGAAAAGATCACTCGACCTTTGTATAAGTTTACTAGATATTTAATTATTCCATAGGGGATGATCAAGTTACCCATCACAGCTGGTGGAAAGCGCCGACAGGCAACAATGATGGCAAATTTTATGGTGATAAAGGGAGCATCACAATATAATGCTATAATTGGAAGGCCAACCCTTCGAGCGCTAAAGGCTGTCATGTCCATCTTCCACTAAAAGATCAAGTTCCCAACCCGAATGGTATAAGAGAGATGAAGTACAATTAGTATGAGTCGAGGGTTGCATACTCAGACACCATGCATGAGTATGATGACCCTAGGAAGCTGAAAATGCGGATGGTCAGTCAAGGGCTGATCAATGAGGACATCGATCCAAGGGTCGAGGAGGAGAAAGGAAGTTAGCCAAACAGTCGACTTTAAAAGTGACCATCTAAAGTTAAAGCCCGAGGAACCTAAAGATTGCAAGACATCAAGAATTCATCACAGCGATGAGAATTCAAAGTAAAACCCAAAAATTAAGTTAAATGCCCAGAATCCAAAACTCTTTGAAATTGATCAAAAGCACCATAAATACATTCAGAAGTATGGGAGAATGGGAGGAAAGGTAAGTTTTTGTTCAGTAAATCTATTTCTAACATATTTATGTAGGGAACGTAGGTAATCAATACATATTCAAACCATAACATATAGAAGTTTCTACATTTTCCTATAAACCGAAATGAAAACGGAGGGATTTTAAGGAAGAACTCACCAGAAATCAGAAGAATGAGGATTCAGGTTGGGTGTTGATGAAAATTCAGAGATTTAGTTAGAAAATCCTCGAATGAGCTTCAAAAAGGAAGAAATCTGAGGTTCTAGGGAAATTTTGACAGAGTCTAGGCGGATTCTAAGAATAAACTGATGAAAAGTGTATTCAGGAACCACCCTTTATAAAGAGAAGGAAGCCTCGACCCTAGACCATCTGATTGAATAATTGTTCATCTAACGACGAGGGCGCAGGCGAGAAAATGAAAAGTCCTGATCCAATGATTCAGATTCAGCAGTTCAAATTGGCAAAGAAATGCCTGCAGAATAATTTTATCGATGCGAATGTTGCCCTACTGTAGAGGCATCTTTTGT